CGATTTATGTTTTATCGCTAATTTTCATGTAAAAGATGTAAGAATAGTCTCGAATATCTGCTATATATTTTTCATTGCACTTGACGCACAGTGGGTTATCCTTCTTCCGGAGGTTTATTGCTGTGTAATTCACCACGCAAAATGAGCAGTGAATATTAGACTAAGTTGTTCTTCGCGTGACCGTAGTGTAGGCATCTTTGAGACTGCACTGGATCTTTTGGTTTTCTTCTCTTTTGAGTAGTAATTCTATGTTTACAATTTGTCTTTATTAATAATATTGATTCAGTGGGTTCTTCGCCACTAAATGCAAGTGCTAGCTCTCAGTCGAACCTATTCCTCTTGTTTAATATTGCAACTTTTGTTATTGAAGGTTATTGGATTGTATATATTTCCTACATTTTGTAATTGTTTTAAGTATTTTTCAGATTTTCAAGATTTTTTTTCTTGTTTTTCACATCAGTAACGGCATTGTCTTTGTTCGCTTATGACATGCGTAGAATAATAATAATATTACTAATAATAAATGTTCTTTTAGCTGAGAATACTTGTTTGTTGCACTTTCTTTGAGATTTGAGACTGCTCTCAGGGACTTCACACACTTCATCAATTATGCCGAACTTGTTTTTCAAGAGCACATTAAAAACGTAATCGGTGGAAAGCTTTGAATTTTCACTTGAACGATTATTTTTTTAAATTTTAGTTTTCATTTTCACTGATATTGGCAGTGAAGGCCTTTTTTTGTTCACGGACGTCTGCAATTGACGCTAGAGCCCCGAAGACCTTGTGTTGACGTTGTCATTACAGTTCGGTTGAGCTGGAGTGTCTTCATTGCTGGAGTCAATTTTTCGCCGGTTAGAAAAAAAGTCAACTGTGGTGGTCGTTGTCCTTCGATGTTGAAGATATTTTTTGCGGTGTGAAGTGTATGGACGACTTGTCTAGTTGTCTGCCCTTTGTATGAGTTTATGGCATATGCCATAAAACTTTCCACATGAATGTTTAAATGTTGATTCTCTAGGCGTAATAGCAATCAACACACTTTGCTTACACAATAGCACGTGGTCGGTGATGCAGATCTCCAGTTAGTTATCCGCACCGCTCGGTGTCTCATGCTGGAATGTAAGGTTGCCTTAACAAATCTTTTGGTGAACATCTCGAAAACGGTGCGTGCTACAGCCTTAAAATCTTGCTTTATCAGCCAAAGATCTTGAATTATGTTCCACACCCCGAAGTCTGCAAGATGACATGAAAATGAAATATTTTAGACTTTCTGTTACATTTTTTGTGTCTTTTGTATATACCCAGTCGGTGGTATCATTGATCAGAATGAGCAGAATCTTATTATTCCTCCTTATGGAAGTGAAGTTTATATAATTTTTTTTACAAACAAATATTTTCACAAACATATTCGCAAAATATATTCCGTAGTAAATATTTACACAAAATTAAAATAAATCAAGTCGTTTTTCAGTTCGAGTGCTTACAATTTTTATCTCAGCAAGATAGGGTGCTGTATTTCACACTTTCTGTTTTGAGTCGACTCGATGTTTGTGAATCAACTACTTGTTTTTGAACGAGGAATGAATTCCATCATTCGGTGTCAGTTTATCGATAAACTGACACTCGTGAGCGATGGCTGAAAATGTACGACGCGGCATTAGAGGATTGAGGGATTTAAAAGATAAAACACGTTCCGACAAATCCTCTTGTAATGAAACATCATTGTAGTTGGTTGGAGTACCAGTTTAATGTAACTAATATTGCGGTGCGAACCTGTTTTCGTGATCACAATTATTCAAAACCTATTGTCTTATTTTAATGTTAATTCTATTTGTGATTAGCGTGTATTTGACATTTATTCATGACCCATTTGAACAATCTGCTCCGTTATATGATTTTCTCGTAAGTACAAACACACACTACGATGAAAGGGGTAGATAATTTTTTTTTCTGGAGGATATTAATCCCTACGAAAATTATTAACCTTACATTGTACTTAATTATAATTTTTAACTTTTCGTTTACAATTTCCTTACAAATTCACTGTATTCATTATCTTTAATTTCTAATTTTTTGTTGTTTCATTTTGTTTTTTTATAAATGGGGTAGTAGTTGTTAAGAAGTTGTTCTACTTTACTGTACGTAATTAGTAATTTAATAATGTTGATGATTTATATCTTTGTTTGACATTTCCGACTACAACGTTAATTTGCAAATATGAGCATGTACACATAAACAAAGTCCCTCATGTGCATTCTCTCGCGTTATTCCATAACAGTATATCACGAGAGGCCATGACAAAATTGAGATATATATTATGTCTGCGTTCGTGGGGGAATTGTGTACATTTACCGCAGGCTTCCATAAAAATCCCTTGATCGCTTGTTTACGAATGTAAATTAAACGATTCATAAATTATTCGCTCCTTTAGACCTTAAAACTAGTGGCCAGTAAAATCCATACTTACACCTACGTCAAACAATTTCATATATAAATCCCCATTTCTGTCTATTTTCTGGTGGATGTTTCTTTGCCCCGAGCTATAAAGCATTCTATCCCCATGATGCCGATACATTTAAGTTTAATGTCCGTAGAAACATAGCTCATTCCCTCTCCTTTACTTCCGCGCGTCGCGACTGTCGCCCACTCTGGCGGAGAGCCTCCAGCAGCGAGCAGACCGAGCCGCCTGCCGCGAGGCGGGTCACCGGGAGCGACCGATCGAAAGCCTCTGTTCTCGATCCGTGTTAATGTGAAATCGATACTCGCGAGAAGTAACGAAGAAATGAACGTGCTTTGCGAAAGGCATGAAAAACGGAAGGGAGACTTATGGGAGAGCGGGCGCTAGACAGGGATCTCGCCATCTCTTGAGAGGCAGTAAAAGGCGATTGGGTGGCCAGAACTTAAAATGGTTGGATATGGGCGTCCAACGCGAGATGGAAATACCCAGAGGAAACCGCTGAAGTCGGGCAAGAAAACAAAGAGAGATGGCTAACGTAATAGTCAATAATTGATCTAGTTTTTTAAGGAATTCATCAGAGCTTAGGTTCATTAGGTTCAGAAAACGAATTTTCAACTATAAGAGTTTTACATTTTGGCATAATACGAGTACATAATAGACACGCGCGTGTAATTCAAGAAGTGAATTAAATAATGCAATGAAAGCAATGAAACACACAAATACAATTAGAATTTTGAGATTATAAAATATACACACTGTTCCAAAATGGATACATATTTGTATTATTTTTGTTCTATTTACTTCTCTTTTTTTTATTTGAATAAACGGATAAATTAATGGTGTATACCACTTCTGTCAATTGATTATATTTCTAAAAACAATTTGGGTAAGAATAACAGCGGTAAATTCAGTGAATATTTTTATTCGTTAGTATCGGTTTTCTCCTTTCGATTGTATAAACTCACTTACACACATCACTTGTTACGAGCCAATGAAGTTCCCGAGTGTGCACTTTCTAGCCTAGTTCTCAGAGGACGCCACGCATTTTTATGGTGTAAGTTCATTTCTAAATTGTGTCACGTCTTTGCGACTCTCGTTTTACGTGAATGTAACATTATAAACTTGGTGCACTACCTTTCATTTGTCCTCTATGTAACTGCACAAGCTGTCTGATTAGTCTGTCAAGTCTGAGCTAGTTCTTCTTGAGCGCACCGCAAGGAGAAACTAACATAATTGGCCTAAATTATGGTTCGTTATACGTCTGGCGTCAACGATGGTATCAAAGATACATTTACGAAGTGTTTCAATTTTTTTCAGGTTTCATTATTACATAAATTCTGTGATTACATCTCCCGTACTATTTACGTTTCAGTTTGTGATAAATTGCCGAAACATCGCTCTAACAAAGATTTTAGTTTCCTTGTGTCAACAATAAAATTAATTTATGGAAAAAGAAGTTTACGTTCATGTGCCATTTCCTTTCCATTCAATATTTCACTTGCTTGATACTTCTAGAACTTTAAAGTGTAATGATTTCTTCGCTGATTCTACACTTTCGTTTTAATAAAATGTTTCTATTTCATGGAAATAATGAGAAAAGTTTTCACGAACTGACCATTTACTTTTTGCCATTTTCGTTTCTCGATTGTAAAGAAGACCGTACTCCGTAATGTGAAGAAGGGTTAGAGAGTGTCATAAATGAGAATTAAATTTGCCGTGCCTTTGCTGCCGGCTCGGATGCGATCATACGTTCGCGAGACGTCCGTACCTTCATTACTTCTCAAATTAAGTGTAATAATTAATTTTCTATTTCTAAACGTTCGTGTTAATAAGAAATTTTCATACCTTTTGATTCGCTGAAAAAACAATTTACCTATGTACCATTTGCATGCAAGTTTTACCATTTTGTCCTCTCCAGTGTAAAACCGACGCTAATCGTATTTCCATATACTAGCATTTCATATTTATTGATTCTGCTCGCTTCATATTGGGTAATTAATCCCGTAAGCTTAGTCCATGTTTAATTCCGGGGAAACTGGCGGTGGGCCTTTCCCCCTGACACAGGAAATCCAGCACCGACCTCATTAGGCTTTCGGTGTTCCACCTCTAAGTATCTTCTTCGACGGGCAACCGCTCCGGCTGGGTGAAGCTCTGTGATTCCCACTGATCTTCCGACATGTGTGGTAGTGTATGGAAATGAGTGTGTAAGGGGAGAGTATGGGCCAAAGATGAAGGAAATACCGAAAGCGGTTTGTTGCAGGAGAGAGGAGCCGGGATACCACTGCTTTCACCTGACATGATCGGAGAAACCACGCGAACTACCGCTCAAACCAAAACTGCTAGAATTCTCCTTCAGGCAGTGGTTGTATTCCACCCACCTATGTTACTAGTGCCGAAACTCCGTCAGGAATCGAACCATAGGATATCTCAGTCAATGACACTGCAGAGAAAGAGGTTGTGCTGCTGAGGTTTGGTAGTCGGTATCTCATCAACAGTTCTAATTTTTGTGATGTGGTTGGCTAATTTTGCTCTTAATGTGTTGCAGGCTCGTGCGCGTGTGTCGTGAGCGATTACGTGTCCGCGTCATGTGAGTGTGCGTCGTCGTCCTCCTCCGCCGCCGCCACCATTGTCACCGCCTGAGCGCCGCGTGTCCCGGGAGCCGCCGCCCTAAGAGCGAGGGCCGGGCCGGGCCGGGCCAGGAGCAGCAGCAGCCAGAGGATGGCGTCGGGCAGCCCGCCGCGGCCGGGCGCCGCGCCGCCGCCGCCGCCGTCGCCCGCGCCGTCGTCGCCCGCCCCGGGCTCCACGCCGCCCGAGCACGGCGTCGGCCCCGCCCCCGCGCGCCAGCGCTCGCTCAAGGACCGCCTGCGCGAGGGCATCACCGGCAGCTTCGCCTGGCAGTGAGTCTCCTCCTCGCTTCGCTTTGCTCACGTGCGCATCGCACATCACTGATGGAAATCTGTGCCGCGTAGCGGGAATGGTTTTTCTCTTAAAATGTGCAATGCGCTCGTGGTTTTTATTATGTTCATTCCACGAATAAAATGTTGTACATGGTTGAAAAAAATGTTTAATTCAAAAAGTTATCTACTGACACATTATGCGCCAAAAACTTGATCAAATCGCTCTTCATACCTTTTCGGCAGCTATTGTTTACATTAGGAAGAAACCACTTCACGTTGAACACCACAGCTTTGCCGATGAAAGGTGCGAATAATATCTCTAATTTGTTCCCAGACTAGAAATTCTTAAACTTTATTCTTTCAACTTCCAGTGAATAAAACACACTATAATTCCTAGGCCGGGTGAACGCTTTCCTTCCGCTTCTGGGTTCCGGTTTTCAAATTCCGGGCGGTTCCTGTAGAACTTGTGGTTGGTAAAGCGGTTTCGCAGCGGTTTTCTCGGGTTCCTCCATTTCCCTTGTCTCTAATTTCACCATTGCTCCATCATCCGTCAAGAAATATCGTTATCACCATCCGTCAAACTATTTATCTGAGGTCTTGTCCAAAAGACTTAGGTGCTGAGAATCATAATAAAGATTATAATTCATAATCCCCAGATTTTTACGTACTAAAAAATATTATTACGGTAGTTTCAATTCACGTTATAGATACTAAAACTTAATTAGAAAAATAATGTTTTTGTACTAGTAAAATTAATTAACTCAGTACAATATAATACCAACGTTCCTGTGTCGTAATGTTGTGATCTGTATTCACTAATATTTTGACATGACACTCAACATGATGTTGAGGAATAACCCCTCTTGTCTTCAGGTAATACACATATTGTACTTGAAAACGAACAAACCGGCACTCTCGTTGCCACAATGTAAGAGAAGAAAATTTTATTTTGTCGATTTCTTAAAAATTTCATTTAAGCTCTTCTCCAGATTCTCAGATTTAGTTTTCAAATGCAAATGCTTTAGGTTTTAGAAGTAAATATATGTATTTTAGGTAAGATCCATCTTATATCTAGGTAAGACCCATCTTATATCTAGGTAAGACCCATCTTATATCTAGGTAAGACCCATCTTATGTTGTTCAAGTTAGTTCTTTATAGACCATACAGAATTTACATACAGTTTGTTTTTATGTATAAAACAAAAACCACTTATATTTTGCAAGAAATAAGTAATCGGTCAGAATTATCTCGAATTTAAGAACATGTGGCTTTAATAATGCAATGTCACTTCTAGGAATATGAAGGCAAAAATATTGATTTAAGCTGATTTCAGAAAAAGTTATGCTTTTGTTTACTGCATAGCTGAACGAGCTGTGTCGAAGCGGCCAACGACATATTTTTCCGACTCTGGGAACTCTTCTTCAAATCCTGACCACTTCTAGCAAAATGAATGGGGGAACAATGTGGGAAAGTGGAAGGTTCTCTTCTGAGGTTTCCCCATTTCCTTCCCTATCATTTCACAATTGATTAATTCGCCGTAGCATATCTCATATTATAACTATAACTTAAAATCGAAGAGGGAGATCTTCCGCTCTGAGGATTTGACGGTGAACCTTCTCATTGAGTCGTCTCCTCGCAATTGAAATCCTGGAAGAAATAAAAATATAACCACTTAACTACATATCCAATGCTTCTAAAGAGTTACATACGCCTTGCAAATGTAATTTTAGCTAATAAACATGTAAATTGGAGTCGATTTTTTTCATAATACGACGTATTTTAGCGGTATTGAAAATTCGGATAGGTGCACAAATTAAATGTATTTGATAGTGTATTTTCTGGTTAAATATGTTGGTTCTTCATGTATCTTCTCGATCTAGGCATGCTTTTTCTTTCATTTCACACATGATTGTTATTTGTTTTCATTATCACATTTTTCACACTCTCACAAGTTTAAAAATTAATTTATGCCTCTACTCTTATAAAAGTAAATAACACTCTACCTACATATAAAAATATACTTCATATCACGTGAATTGTCATGAAGTTAATGACTAATATTCTCGGAATCTCTATCATCATAATACACTTCCATATTCGCGAGAAAAAGTTGTATTCTGGCTGTTTTTTTGATACAAATTTAATCGGTTCCCCAATGGTCAACTTTCACTACTAATATAAATATTACCAATTAATATCTTATAAAATATGAATGTAACATAAAAATGCTTAAATAAAATTTAAAATTAAATGACAGATATTCTAGAGAATAACGTTACAAAACCGATATGCTTGTCGTTTGAAAATGAAATGTAAAGTAACGTGCGTCTATGTGCGTCTAGTGCGTGTAATCTTTCTTCTTGTACCAACAATTTTGCAAACAATATTCCAAATTCATTTGCTTAAAAACTAGTATTTTTTGGTATTTACCAAACGTTTAAGTGAAATATGTAAAGAGAAGCTGACCATTTCTTAAATCCAATTTATTATTACCTTGTAGAAAGTCACTTGTTTCTCAGACTTTTTTTTGCATACGTTTCAGAGTAAACATATTTCAAATAAATTATAACTTTACATCTTCTTGGAAAACTGCAATAAACATTTCTCTTTCACTTATCCAGAGAGATTGTTGACTGTCATTCATTTTCAATCTGACGGAAAATAAATTCTCTTTCGCCAGCCTTCTGAGATGATGTGACATGACGCATATTGGTCACCTTCGAAAGTGATGGGGGTGACCGCCTCTGGCTAAAGTGATTGGAATTCTCTTCCGCACCTGCATGCTAGCGCTCCCACTATGGAACATTTTCAACCGGCGCTCCGCTCTAAAACTCCATTTCCATTGAGAATTCTAAAACCTGATTTAGATTACCATCAAACAATAATTTTGTAAAGGATTTTACATTTTTAATGCGTTTCCATAAATGCACGCTACATACGGAACATGGATGTGCAATGCGGGCTGCAAAACAGCAAAACATGCATTTTGTTGTGAGTGCGTTTTCACAGCTCGGATTTGTGTGGGTTGCAAATTGAAACACTGGAAAATACCGATTCACAGGAGAGTTCCTGAATTAAATTGCACTCTGCACCGTTCATTTGGGAGTATTTTTGTCAGCAGTCAGCGTGCATCAGTACTACAAGTGTGGTCTAAAAAGTGTAAATTATATAAACCGAGCCTAAATTTTGACTTACACATGATATAATAATCACAAATGCGTATTATTACTTCAAATACAGATTTGTTTTATGTACATAACATTTCAGGAAAGTTCTCATACATTTTTACCTAATATTTTTCATCACTAGAGAAACTTGTCGTTAGAAGTAGAAACTTTTACCCAAGAAAGACTACTCATAAATAATCATTAAAATTATTTTACATTTTTTAAATAACAGTATTAAAGTCAATTGTATTTTCTTCGAAACATTCGTAATACGTCTTTTCATCGCCTTTCAACATTTTGTTTCGTCCTTTTAAATTTATGATACTCAGTGTTTCTTGCTATTATTTTACACAGAATAAAATATGGTTTGTGTGTATTTTATTTAATTTTTTTCAGCTAAACAGGTCCAAAATATTGATGAGTTGAACAATAAAATGAAAATTGCTAAAGCGCAAGGCGGCTCTTTATTCATTGTTTTTTTAGTCGCGTTCGTTTTCTTGGCGCATTTTACAATGTTCAGCCGTTACGCCCGTGGTAGAGAGCGCCTGGCGACTCACCGCCAAGAAAACATAGATGCTCCAAATTAAAACGTGGATATTAATAGAATATCAACCTAAAACCAACGATGTTATTAAACGTCGAAGTTTTCAAAAGTGAATTAGTAACCATTGAAGTTTACGTGTGGTAGATTTATTTTAAAATAATTATTTTGATTAACTTTGAATTTGGTGTAGTTTATTAGTTTTTAATTGAGATTTAACTGACAAAATAGTCAAAATCATCAGGACACATAAGGAAACGTAGATTATGTGATTCAATAATTCAATATATTATAGTGGGTTCTATATTGACGAAAACCGGACTTTACTTTTCACTCTTGGTCTCTTTGCTCCGAAGAATATTCAATTTTTGGATATCTGAAAGCTATTGTAGGATTTTGGTATGATGAACTTATTTTTTATTTGAAAATATCGACCACATAAAAACATTTAACAACAAAATATCATTGTTAAAAAACACCGGCTTCAAAAAATCGTTAAATACATCGATGATTTTATAAAAAAAACATTGACATTGATATCGCATCCCTACTGGCGTGCAGGGCCCGCCGCCTCCGCCGCCCCCATCGTTCATCAAGGGCGGCGACCCCCGCCGCTGCCGCCTCCGGGCCCATTTCCGCCGCCGACGAGCGCGGTGGCCGCGCGAAAACTTCGATATTTCGCTAATTAGATCGACGCGGACGCCGGCGCCAACGCCATCGCCAGGAACGGACCGGGCGCGGGCGGCGGGGCGGGGCGGGCGCGCGCGTAGCGATACGAACAGAGTTGCTCTGCGGCGGCGGCGCCGGGGGCAGATAGCATCGGCCGTCGCTCGGTGGTGCCAGCGCCGCCGCCCGCGCCGCCGCCGCCGCTAGGCGTCATTTCCGCCTCAGCCGCGCCGTTTCGCGGAGGTGCAGCTGTCGCCGCCGGTGGCGTCTGCGATGGAAGGGAGATGCACTACGACGCGACGATCAGAACTACTGACGGGCCCAAGACTTGTTTCGTGGACCTCGTCTGTCATTCAAGTCGTGACATATTTAAAATTACGTTCGTTTTCGTATGTTGTATTTCTTCACATTTCGGACAAGCGGAAAAATTGTTTTTCAAATTGGCA